TGCTGATGTTGCTATTTTTTCGTGCACTTCCTTGACGTCGGGCTACGCTACCAATATCACCGTAACGAGCGATGGTACGAAAACAAAAGATTTATTCACATTTAAATGCTGGAGCGCTCTGACGATAGCCACTTGTGGGTTCCCAGCCAAATATAAAGAAATCACACAATCACGCTTGAATTCCATCACGAATAACTTTTGTTCTAGAAAATTCTCACCAAAATTCTTTTATACGCTTGTAAACAATATAATGAGCTGTCACTTGAATAATTTTAACAGCTGTCGAACGAGTGGCTTAGAAATGCCAGTAGTCTGAAGTTGGTTGCAGTTTTTTTATCTCACCCTGTATACGACGTAGAGCTTCAAAATTTGACAGAACAATTTGTATTATGTCCATGATGGTTGGTATTGAAAATGAGATATATTTGTCTACGTTTTGTTATAGCCCTCATATAACCGTACCTTCCGAAATTCGGTGTTTTGAAAAATTTTGACATATTTTTTTACGGATCTGTCTAAAAATTAGTATTTGTAGTTCGTAATGGATTCTAGCTCTGATGACAGAAAATAGCATATACAGGTTTTGGTATATCCCCCATATAACGATACCTCCCAATACTTTTTTAATGATTTTTGCCATAGTTTCCCACTGATTCGTCCAAAAATCGGCATTTGTAGTTTGTAATCGTCCATGTATTGAACCACGTTTTCGTATAGCCCCCACATAATGGTACCTCCGGATATTCAGTATTTTGATGATTTTTGCCAAAAATGATTTGCTTAAAAATGGGTTCTAGCTCCGGGCGCAAAACATTGAATATTTAGGTATACGTTTTCCTATATGGCACATATAACGAAACCTATCGATATTCCGTATTTTGATAATCATAGTCTTATTAACCCACAAAATTGTTTCAAATTTGGTATTTATGAAGATTTGATAGATGACAAACGTTGTAGACGTTTCCGTTTTGGTAGCGCCCCATATAAGTTTTTTTTTATCATGACCAATAATCGTGAAATTTTTTAAAGATATTTTTTTCAAGAACCAATAATTGTGGATTTTTTTAAAGAATATTTTTTCAATGGCTAATAATCGTGAATTTTTGAAAGAATATTTTTTACCAACAAATATCATGGATATTTAAAGAATATTTTTTCATGGACCAGATATCGTGAATTTTTCAAAAGAATATTTTTTAAAGCACCATTAATCGTGGATATTTTAAAAATATATATTTTTCTAAGGACTAATAATCGATTTTTCAAATATTGTAAATTTTTAAAGAATATTATTTCAAGGGCCAATAATCGTGGATTTTTAAAGAATATTATTTCAAGAACCAAATTACGTGGATATTTAAAGAATTGTATTTCAAGGACCAATAATCGCTGATTTTTCAAAAGAATATGTTTTTAAGGATCAATAATCGTGGAATTTTTCCAGGAACAATATTAGTGGATTTATTTAAAGATTAATTTTCAAGGACCAAAAGCCGTGGATTTTTTAAGATTAAATAATTGAGTATTTAAAAAAAATATTTTTTAATTAACTCAAGTGACAATAATCGTGAGCTTTTTAAAGAATATTTTTTAAGGATAAGTAATTGTGAATTTTTATTTTTTTTAACAACCAATACTCGTTGATTTTTTGAAAGGATATTTTTTCAAGGACCAATAATTGTGAATTCTCTAAAGAACATTTTTTCAAGGACCAAATGTTTTGGATTTTTTAAAGAATATTTTTTTAAGGACCAAATATCGTGGATTTAAGAAAAAATATTTTTTAAGGAACTCAAGAGATAATAATCGTGAATTTTGTGAAGAATATTTTTTAGGGATTAGTATTACAGGATTTTTTTTTAATATTTTTAAAGGACGAATAATCCTGGAGGTTTAAGAATATTTTCTGGAATCCTCAAATTTGATATTGAGGATTCACTTTATGCTGTTTGAAAAGTTTGACAGTTTCCAAATAGGTATTATTATTTGAAGTTTAACGTTTAACACGTTTAAATTCAGATACTCTTATATAAAAATATTTTCTTTACCCAATGGTGGAGAGTATTAAAAGCATTTTTCATGTCCCTTCCAAATGGTGGATATTATAAAAAGATCGTGCCAGCCAAACTTAGCTGCTGTTTTACTTGTTTCAATTTTGAGTTCTTCTTGGGGAGGTTGATAAAACTATGACGCTGTATAATATTTAGTCTAAAATGTTTACTTCCCTAGAAAGTGATTGTTTTCACTAGTTAACCTGACATACATTTCTAGATAGACCCAAAATATCCTTAAAGGGGCATATGGTCCAAAGCCGGCTACAGTAATTTTACTAAACAGTGGCTCATGTTTATGTAAACTTAAACACACATTGGGTACAGCACAACAGAATAAAAAAAGAAACACATGTTGAACTTGACTTTTTTGATTTTCCTTTAAGGGTAAAACCAAAATCAAAAACAATTGAATTCCTGCAAACATAAATGAGAGCGAGAGTCAGTCCTGTTATCCTATGCTTCTCTTTTCAGAGAATAATGTCCAACAGACCAACTTTTATACTTGATAACGGAATAAGAAACATGTAAATTGAAGTGGGACATCCCCTGTGGAGCATACGAGTTACATATCAAACTATAACAGTTGCGAGAGGCACACTTTTCTGTATAAACTCTATGTTTTTCTCTCATTATGTTATTCTATTTAGACTCCAATTTGCCGGCAGTTGGAGAGTAGCCATTATTAACATGCGACAAACTGTTGTTGTTAAATGTTGTTAACATTACATTTGCTGTCTGGATAGTTAAAATGTCCTCCAAAGGGTTTAGTTGACAACTTACGTTCTTAAGGCAAGGTTGGTTTATTGTCCTTTAATGGCAGGGTGTTTACAGTGTGGTTTGGTGGTTTTACGTACATTATTCGCGAAAATATTAATAAAATGATACATTAAGAAAACTAAACTAGTAAATTGCAGATTTTAGCAATTTAGTTAAACTAATTTCAAATCCTGTCAAAAGAACCAAAAATTTAAATTACACCAAGAATAAAAACAAGAACTAAAAAACCAATACCGCATTGCTGTTTAATGAGTGAATGTTGGAAGGCAACAAAAACATTACCGCAGTTACAAATCGACTCATTGGGTCTTCTATGAGCCAAGTTACTTAGAAAAAAAATATTAAAACATTATTGAGTTACTTATATCACATATTGTGTTGCATTTATTTTTCTGTCTAATTTTGGATTTCTAGTGTTTTCAATCAAACGAAATCATTGTAAAACAAGTAAGCAAAGGCTACAGTCGAGCGGGGCCGACCGTTGAATACCCTACAACACTATAATAAACTATACAGTTTATATAGATATTGTGACAAATAATAAAAGAAAACCATCAGGTTTCGTTCTCTAATGTTCAAATAATAGCAACTTAAACTAATTTGCTCATTTCCAATTTATTGGTAGATGTTGGACTTAAATGGTCTTCCTAGATCTGGAACCAATATTTCCCAAAGACCTATAATCTCTCAGAAGTGGCAAAAGATTAACATTTATTATTGGTTTTTGACTGAAACGCATCTATATGAGATACAGACATTTGACTATATTCTTCAATGAAATCAGCGTTAACGAAATAGTCAGAAGTGCGTCTTTCCTGTGTTTGTGAATTCTCCAAAAAGTCACAGGAATGGACATTTTCGTATTTGTCTACAAAAGTTGGCAAACTCCTTCACACATTGAATATTTTTGGATGGCCATCCAAAACTGCTTGGCTTTTGCAATGTCCGGTAACCCCCATTCAAATGTGCGTGAGGATCGGGGGATAATTACGACCTCCTGACAATTTTGCAGTTTTTTGGTCAATTTCAACCCCTAAATATATGGCGATCATCTCCAAAAAGAATAGGCTTTTATTCTGACCCTCATCTTATCTCCATGCAAAATTTCGTAAGGATCGGGCCATAAATGCGATCTGTATATGATATCCTGATATCCTAACTACTTAGTTTTGTTAGCTGTAGAAATATTACCAAATGTTTAATTCAAAATGAAAATATGCCAAAAATATGACAAAATTGAAAAAATATGAGAAAATTTTACAAAATCAATATTTTCATCTTTAGAGAGATATTTTTATGCGATTTTTTTTAGACGTTTTTTCTTTCCTGCCAAGAGGCTATTCTGAATTAATGAGAACTGTCGAAATCAGTTCAGCCGTTCTCGACATATAAGAGATTTTTCAAGCATATCTTCTTTGATAAACATATATATCGCACATATTTTGCTATATATCCGTTTTTTTGGATGTTAACGTCAATGTAAAGATCAGAAGTAACCTTGACATGGCTTTGTGATTTCGCCGGGATTTAAAATATTCGCGGTTTAATGAAAAATTTTGAATTTTTTTCAACAAAAAATATATGGTCTGTTCTACCCGCTAAATATTATCCGATGACCACCCAAATGGGTAGGCTTCTTGCCAGCCCTAAACTCTAGCTACATGCGAAATTCCGCGTCGATTGGTGTATAATTGCGACCTGTAGAGCAAGTGCAAAATCAGGAATTTTTTCAGTTTTTGGTCCATTTCAACCCCTAAATATTATGCGATCATCACCAAAAGAAATAGGGTTCTATTCTGACCCTAGCCCCACCTCCATTTTAAATTTCGTGAAGATCGGACCATAATTGCGACCTGTAGAGTGATTACAAATTAACACGGACAGACGGACGGACGGACATACATAGCTAGATCGACTCAGCTGGGCGAGCTAGGAAGATCCATATATACTTTCCTATGTGGGAAATCAATATTTCGAGGTGTTACATAATTTTTGGCCCAATCAAACTTATAATACCCCCAACACATAGTGTTGTAGGGTATAAATACTGAAACATTTTTGAGTTACCTATATCACATATTGTGTTGCATTTATTTTTCTGTCTAATATTGGATTTCTAGTCTTTTCAATCAAACGAAATCATTAAAAAAAAAAAAAACAGAAAATATCCGCAAAGAAAATATTTTATGAAAGACGTTAACATAAAATCGCTTCAACAGCAATAAAAGAAGAATAAAAGGAACAACTGCATCTCTCTAGACATCCCATTTTGAGCAAGGAGAAACACGGAACACACGGAGTGTTAACCTGATTGTGTTTCGAGTGTGTCACAATTTTCGGAACAATGCACTAAACTCCAACGGAGCCAACATTCATAAAACTGCTGCTACTCTGCTGTTGTCACCATTCTTTCGGATGTTCAGCTACACATTGTAGGTCAGGTCAGTATTACTTTTTTATATTTATGTGTGAATTTACGTTGTCTTATTGTGTTCTTCCTTTTGGATTATTGCATTTACTTAAAGCATTTTTGTGATATTGTTTTTCCTCATTCCATTCATAATCTTCTGTTGTTATTACTATTCATTTTTCTTTCCATATGAACAATGAATTATGTTTCTGCATTGTTTACATGAGCAAAATAATGAATGAAATTTTTTTATGAGAATTATATCATTGCATTCATATTGAGTGATAGGAGCACCCGATGAGGCTTAGGTCTGATGCGGAAATGGACAAAATTGACCAGTCCTTCTTATACCTCCCCAACAAGAGATTAGCATTTTAATAAAAATATTAGAGCATGTGTAAATACGAAATATATCCACTCTTTTTGGTAGATAGCTCATAAATGTGCGATAATTTCGGATAAAAATTATACATACACATACGAATCGACTGCCCGATATTGTCCAAATTTAGATCATGTCAATAGGTTTATCATATTTGATCTGGAGCTTTGAAAACTTCCCACGTATTACGTTGATATTTGCAGCCTTAAGTGAATGTTGTTCATATACAGAATCTCGCCAAAGCTACTCTCAAAAGTATTGCTTTTCGTTGTTGTGAATAGTTGACCTGTATGTTATTAAAAAATGTTATTTATTTGTTTCCTGATATTTTGGCTTTAGGTCGTCAAAAGAATAATGTTAATTTTATAAATTTTCTATTTTTATTCCGATATTTCGATTACCTTCTGTAATAATTTTTAGGGATTTGTTTCGAGTGGGAATAGACTAGTTACTATCAAACATTTTCCTTATGGCGGAAAGTATTAAAAATTCTCATTCTTTTTATGTATAACCACGATCATTATATGACCACCATCATCTAGAGGGTGAGATAAAAAATGCAACAAAGTCAAACGTCATAATTTTAATATATTTATACCCTACATCACATATTTGTAAGGCTATTATGTCTTTGTACATTTGTTTGTAACAGGCAAAAGGAAACGAGATAGACCCATAGTTACTTTTGAGGATCTCCATAGAATCACTTTCTGAGTTGATTTATTCATGTCAGTCCGTCTGTCCGTCTGTCCATGTATTCTTGTGAACAAAATGCAGGTCGCATTTATTATCCGATTGAGATGATATTTTCCAAACAACATTTGTGTGGCCCGAACCCTATTGAAATTGGAGACAATCGGTAAAAAATTAGATATAGCCCTCATATATATCTTCGTCTGATTTGCCTTTTATTGTGCACCAAACGTGTAATATCAGCCCGAGTAGTATGGAATTTTGCACATACAACCAAATTAGGCCTGAAAATAAGTATGCCAAATTTGATCGCAATCGGTTCAGATATAGCTATAGCTCCCATACATATTGTTCATCCGATTTGTTATTTTAGTCCTCCGCAGCCGTAATATGCACTCTGTAACAACAATATTTGGGGAAATATATCAAATACAGCTCAGAAATACCTTTGCTAAATTTTATCGAGATCGGTTCAGATTTGGATATATCTCCCATATTAAACTTCGTCCGATTTACCTTTGATTGTGCACCAAACGTCTAATATTTGTCCAAATGGGATGGAATTTGGCACTTACGACCGAATTGAGTCTAGAAGCTGGTATGTCAAATTTGGTGAAGATCGGTTCAGATATAGCTATAGCTCCCATATATATTGTTCATCCGATTTGTTGTATTTGTTACCCAAAGCCGTAATATGCACTCCGTAACAACGATATTCATGGAAATATATCAAATACAGCTCAGAAATATCTTTGCCAAATTTTATCGAGATCGGTTCAGATTTGAATATAGCTCCCATTTATATCTTTATGTGATTTCAAATTAATTTTTCACCAAATGGGTAATTTTATTCCTTTGAACTTTAAATTATAATTATAATCATACCGTGTATGATTGAATTCTCCCATAAAAACTTTTAATTTTTATGTGGAGCTCTACTAAATTAGCAAAGTGGTGTAGGGTATCATAAAATCGGCTCCGCCCGACTCTAGGATATTCTTTACTGTTTTTTTTTAAATTTAATTGAATGAAGCAAAAAATTTCGGAAGTAGCATCAAATTTTAGAATAAGTTTGAATTTGTTCGAATTGGTCACCTGTAACACTAATTACGGCCTTCAAACGGCCAATGTCACACGAATGTTGCTCTGTGGTATTTTGGCCCATTCCGGGCGAAGCGCTTGCTTGAGGTGATCGACACTTTGGTATTTTTTACTGCCAACCTTGCTTTCAAAAATACTACAGACACAAAAGTCCAACGGATTGGTATCCGGAGATTTTGGTGGCCATTGTGCGCTGGAAATGAAGCGAGGAACCTCATTTTGTAACTATTCTTGGGTGACGCGTGCCAAGTGCGATGGTGCTAAGGCCTGTTGGAATGTCCATGGTCTGTGGCCATAATTTTTGAGTGCCCAAGGCTTTAATACACCCTCCAGAATATATATTATCTGTTATGGCGGCCCACACCATCACCATGGCCGGCGCTTGAGTTCTGGTGGTCAACCGAAGGTACACATTTTCAGCTGATCTCTTTGGCAAGTAAACACGATCATTATGGTTGTTAACACTTGTGGTTTTCCAGCCAAATATAAAGAAATCACACTATCACGCTTGAATTCCATCACGAATAATTTTTTTTTTCTGGAAAATTCTCATTATAATGCTTTTGTACGCTTGTAAACAATATAATAAGCTGTCACTGGAATAATTTTTACAGCTATCGGACGAGTGGCTTAGAAATGACAACAGTCTGAATTTGGTTGCAGTTTTTTCATCTCACCCTGTATACCCTCGGTAGCCATATTGCTGTGGTTACAATAAGCTGCATCTCAAAACGCAAAAAATTTATTTGGATAATGACTTGCAGGCGTTGTTTACTTATAAGCCGATTCATACCTAAATTATGAAATCAATGACACTATGGAAATTACTCCTCCTTTAACTATTTTCACATCCCAGTAGATTGTGGTGGTAGTATGAGTTATAGGCAAAAAAAGCAAATACCACTTGAAATACCACAACAAACACTACAGAAGACATGTGCGAACATACAAACTAATATGGGAAACAAGTTAAAAAGCAGTAAGTTCGGCTGGGTCGAACTTTGAACACCCTCCACCATTTGGAACGAATTTGGAAATTTTCAAAAAAATAAAATCCGTTAAAAATTCTGTAAAAATCTTAAAAATACCGAATATACGACCACGACACATATTCATACCTATATTATGAATCGAGCTGAAGATGTTTGAAAGCGAATTCGGTTCAAAAATATGACTAAAACACTCGACAACCTTTAAAGCTCACAGTAGCGATCTATGGGGCTGTTTAAAAACACGGTCCATTTTGAACATCAAAAAACGTAGAATACATTTGGGAAATGTTATAAACTAACGTTAATTCCTTAGGAAGCAGAATAGAATTCCGCAGATGTACTGACATGGCTAAATCGACATAGAAAGTCACTCTATCTCGGAGGGTATAATAATGGGGTTTTCCAACCAATAATAGGCTATATTTAATCTATTAATTTAAAAATAATAATATTCTGTGATAACGCTGAAGCTATAGTGACCTTAAGACACATGTTCTCACGAAATTGTTGGTGGAACCCATTTTCTCTACAAACAACTTCTTCAGTTGTTGACTTCTATTGCCTTGAGTTAAAAGTAAACTCATTTCAAGTCAAATAAACTCATTAAAGGGTCATAACCTCAAATGTTTTTAAGAGCCTTTGGGGACAGTACAATTGTGTTTAATATTCTTGAAAGGAATTTAGAGATTTTCGTAGCTCTTTGGCGTACAAAAATGCAAACAATAGAAGGAATTGAGTTGTTTTACTTGAATTACATAAAAAAGAAGGAAACTACTTCCAAACTGTAAAGAGCATTAGAACTACCACAGCAACAACTACTACTTCACCACAGACAACAGTCCCACAACGAATCATAGCAATGCTACATCGAGCCGCAACTACAACACAAAGCAGTCAAAGCCCAAAGCTTCCAGTCAACGTCCTTGTCTAGTTGCAGCATCCTTCCGTTGTGTACATGATCTGCATTTAACATTTGTCCGTTTCTCCGCTTTGTTATTCGAGGAAATTGCAAATATTTATTTTCAGTTCTATTTTCTTAATTTATCCTTAACTGCATTATTGTCTTTATTTGTCCGGACAAGGCTGAACAAAATGAAAACAATGCAACAATAACAAATAAACAGTAGAACGAACAATTTAAAAATGTACACAACAACAGAAAGGACCTTGAAATGGTTTCGCAAAAGTACATAGATGGTCGTTGAACATGACTAGGAGTTCAGTTTGGCGTTTCGTTAGGCTTTATATGTAAACCGGCAAAGCAACATGGAAAGGATACAACAGTGGTTATATAAAATAAAATGAAATAAAAAACGTTTTTAGTATCTTGAAATTTGGAACCCTTCAGAATTACTCAGTTATATAGGTGAAGTAAAAAATATTCCAATAGGATACTAATTCTGCATGTAATTATCTTTAATTCGATTTCTGATTTATACCTTTATATGTACTCCTCAAACGCTTTGTGAACAAAATAACTCCTCAAATCGAGGTTGGATCTATGGACCTTTTACCATTCCGATGCTTCCGATATCACTGTTGTTTTAGCTTTCACAATGTAGTAGTTGTAGTCTTTGACAATGACACTATGGAAATTACCCCTCCTTTAACTCTTTTTACATCCCAGTTGATTGTGGTGGTAGTATAAGTAATAGGCAAAAAAAAGCAAATACCACTAGAAAGGTTTTCAACAAACACTACAGAAGACATGTGCGAACTTACAAACGAATATGGGAAACAAATTAAAAAGCAGTAAGTTCGGCTTTGAATACCCTCCACCAGTTGGAACGAATTTGGAAATTTTCAAAAAATAAAAACCGTTAAAAATTCTGTTAAAATTTTAAAAATACCGTATATAGCCTT